AAAACATTTAAGAACAAGGAATACAAGCACAAAAACCATGCCGCAATTTATATTACCTGCTATGCATTAGAGCAAGAGAGAGAGAGAGAGAGAGCGGGCGAGAAAAGGAATTTAAAAAAACCTGTTAACGTTTTAATTATTACTCTTTTATTTTTCCCTTTTCTTTTTTTTTTTTCCTTTTGCAGCAGAAAAAATGATATTTATGTTAATAAACTTATTAATGAATTGAAAAAAATGATTACATAATTAATTAGTCTTTTTTTCCGGGGTTAAAAACCTTTCCTATTGGTTTTGTTTATAAAAAAAAATTTGTTTTTTTTTTTTACTTTTACTTTTTTTGCTTCACAACTTCTGCTTTAACCATCCGAACGTTATTTATGTAGTTTTCAAAGAATTTATGATTTATGCGGTTATTTATTAGTTTTATTTATGCTTGTTTTTGTTTTGCAAAAATATGAAAGAAGAAAAAAAAAGAGAAAAAAAACGAACAAGTTCGTTGCTTAAGTCATTTGTCTGTTTGACACATGATAGATAATCTGGTTCTTTTAAAACTTAAACAAGTTTTTTGCTTAACTCTTTTGTTTTAATACGAAATATTAAACTAAAAGCCGTTGAGCCTAATAATGCATACGCGCACAACGCTTTACATGAGAACGGAATAAATGAAATACATATATATGTGACTTTGGATCTTCTCAAGGATCATGTGTTTCATTATGGCATACAAACGTTAAGAAATTTCTTTTATTAAATCATATCTTTTTAACGATTCCATTCTATTACATTCCATACGTTCCACTTATAGTATCAGATTTAATATTCCGCTTGTAACACGCAGAAATACGCGGAAGTATGCATTAAAGACAAGTTCTGAATTTATTTAGCTACGTCTGTCTGTATGTACGTCCTTTCGTTGATGGGTCGTTCAATTTCGCAAAAAGACGATGCATATTTAATTCAATTTTTTTTGTTTGCTTATTAACAAACTTTTAAAATTAATTTTGCACTAAAATGCAATTACCTAACTTGTCTATAGCTTAGAAATAGGAGAGAATGGTTAAAAAACAAATTTTTTTGTGCAAAAACGTTAAGGCTTTAGTGAGCAGACTTCGTCGGAAGGAAATGCTTACAAGTGGCACAAACAGTTCGAAAAAAGTCGAATATGGCTTGAAGACGAAGACCATCCCGGATAACCAGCAACCTCTGTCGATGAAAATCACGTCAAACAAATCAAAAATTCGTTGTTGACGCTGTTTACATTTTACACCACATTATCAAACATAGATGGCGCCTGAAAGGCGTCAAGTCTTCAAAAAGACTCAATTTCGAGTTTAGTTAGTTAAAAATTCAACCCTCATCGTTCCACCTGATTCAGCCACTATATGACTTGTGGTTATTTCCCAAACTCAGGAGACGATTCCGGGGACAATGTCTTTCGATTGAGAAGATATGAGCTGGATTCCAAAAATATTTGAAGGCCATTACGGAAGTCGACCATAACTACTGTTTGAAGAATTAGAAAAAACGTTGACTTAAGTGTAGTCTGAGGAGGATTACTTTTAAAGCGGGGAAATAGAATAAAAGTTAAAATTAAATTTGTCTTACTTTCTGAACAGTGCAAATACATGCGAAAAAAGAAAAGAAAAGAAAAGAAAAGAAAGCGTATGGTTTTCTTGCAGAGAAGCATACTTATAGCCTATGCGATTCCGAGCTCAGAGTGCCCCACGAAATCGAAGCAAATATGCAAAAAGCTTGCCATTCCGTAAAAGCAGATTTTTGAACTTTATCAGCGTACTATCAGAAGTATTATTGATCGAAAATGTTACTTAGGTACGCATAATAGAGAATAGTTTGCGTAGTTGACTCCTCTTCAGATCAGTAAAACTCCCCTATATAAACAAGATTGTTAAGTCAAGAAAAACACGAGCAAAAAATGTCTTTTGATTAGTGAAGCATCTAGGACAATAGGACTTTAAGATTGCATCAGAGATGCCCTTCAGACTTCGTTTAAACAAGACAACACCTTGCAATCCATAGTACAGATCATTCTAAAGCTAAGCACAAGTATTTCAGCGATCTCGCATTTAATTAACTGGCACGGACATGGTAAACAAAATACATTTTGCGATTGCTATATATTTGCTGCAGATTTTCGTCTACAAAAATTTTTTTTCTTCGTTTTCACTATACCCTGCAACACTCATTTTACAGAATATATCGTATTTGCGCGGATGTACGTAATACCCAGCCTTTTAACTTAGTGATTAATTCAGACTTATTTTATGAGTCGATTTAAGCTTGTCTGTCCGTCTCACTGTCTGCCGGATGTCGTTCTAACTTATCGAAATTTTTGAAATATTTTAATGAAATTTGATACACACTGACGTTTTCTGGCACACAAAAGTGAAAGCTACTGAAGAAGGATTGAAGTGGAGTATTTCTATGAGCAATTGCCACACAAAGTCCCATTTGGTTCAAAATAAAATTTTGGCAGGCAAAACAAATACGTAATACGGACGGAAACATTTCATACCAGTCTTCCTAAGAGAGCTAAGACTGTCTATAATAAGATCATAACTTGGAATTTTATAGGGGGGACCCTCTCCCAAACCACTTTTCCTAAGAAATGTAAGACCTTCTATAATAAGATCATAGCTTGGAATTTTATAGACCCCCTCTCATCCCTAAGAAATGTAACACATTCTATAATAAGATCATAGC